TTCAATTTAATTGGGTAATCCCCAATTAAATTGAGTAACTCCCAATTAGGTTGATTAATTCCCAATTAGGTCAAATAATCCCCAAATGGAATGAATCATTTGACCTAGGGTCTGATTTAATTCGGTTCCCACAATAATGGGAAGAAAATGTTCCTGGACATTGCGCGTTTCTTTAACGGGAAGGACAAAGATTGAGTAATAGAAGCTTGTGATGTTTCTGCAGTTGTTATAGTAGCGGTCCTCATCGAGAGATCTCTCGTAAAGATTTTGGGTGGAAGGCTTTGGATGCATGATTCGCTCCAAGAATTGGGTCGGCAAATTGTACTCCGAGAATTTCCTGATAAGCCTGGCTGGTGCAGCAGGTTGTGGTTTCATGAAGATGCCCATCATGTCTTGAGCAAAAATACTGTAAGAGATTAATTAGTACATGCACAAAAATAATTTGAGTTGTTATATGATAAAACAAGGTACTGTACTAACCCTTTTTTAACGTTAATTATGAGCTTCACTATTCCATGTTAATAGGGAAGAGAGGAAATAGAAGGCATAGTTCTGCACCCAGCTCTGATCCAGGGGTACAGGTGCATGCAAAATGCTAAATCCTTTTCAAAGATGGTAAAACCAAGATATCTCAAGATTAGTAATGTGAGCCTTTACAATGGACTTGAAGATCTTCCCAATAGCTTACGCACTCTTAAATGGACGGGATATCCTTTAACATATTTCCCATCACATTTCAACCCAGAGAAGCTACTAGAACTCAAAATGTGTCATAGTTGCATAAAACATTTTCAGATGGGAACAAAAGTATATATCCTTTTACTCATTGGATCTTTTATTACCTACAAAAACTGTTCAAACAGGGAAGCTAATTTTGCTATGCTTTTGCAATTTGACAGCCTTTACACATTTTGAAAACCATCAAACTCAGTCACTCTCTTAATCTTGTCAGCACGCCCAACTTTAAAGGTGTTCCAAATCTTGAGGTTCTGATTCTTGAAGGTTGTACACGATTGTTTGAGGTTGATCCATCAATTCAAGCGCTGGAAAGACTTACTCTGCTGAACTTGAAAGATTGCAAAAACCTTGCCCATCTTTCAAGCAGTGTAGGTTGCTTAAAATTTCTCAAAGTTCTTAACCTTTTTGGTTGTTCAAGGCTTAATATATTGCCAGAAGAGTTGGGTTAAGAGTTGGGTTACATAGAGTGTTTGGAGGAGCTTGATGTGAGTAGAACTGCCATAAGAGAACTACCTTCCTCTATTGGAAGGCTTAAAGGTCTTACTTTGATGAACTTGAAAGATTGCAAATATTTTATGCATCTTCCAACTAGTGTAAACGGCTTAAAATGTCTCAAAGTTCTTAATCTTTCTGGTTGTACAAGACTTCATGAACTGCCGGAAGAGTTGGGTCATGTGGGGTGTTTGGAGAAGCTCGATGTGAGCGGAACTGCCATATCAGAACCACCCTCCAACCCTTTATCTTTTGAAAAATCTTAAAATATTATCAGTTCAAGGATGTAAAGGATCCATCACCTTCTTCTATTGATCCCAAATTCCTCATTTCTTTTTGCCTTTGGAGTTTCAATTATTAAGAGGACCTGCTCATAAAAGTGACTGCAATCTCTCGGGAAGGACCAATTCCAATGTTCTCAGCTGCTTGTCCTTATTGAGAAGATTAAATCTAATAAGAAACTACTTTGCTAGTCCGTTTGTAGATGTTCCTAATGAATCTCACTGGATACATTGTTCAATCTGAAGTAGCCCTTTAACTTTTAAGCTTTGTTTGGATTTTGATTCTCTGAATGTTTGGCTTTCAAGATTCTGGACTCCATCTCCATCTCCACACCATGTGTTGGTTTTGGTCTTCATCCACTCTGCTTTGTTATCGGCTTCACTTGCATCATCAATCCCCTTAATTTGTGTGTGAGGAGTGACAAACAAGGGTGCCTTGTAGCCTTGGGCAATGTTGAAATGTGACTTGATATTTTGGTTTTGGGTGGAAGAATACTTTGATCTTTCTCTTACATACTGGATCAGAGCAACATCCAGAGCAGAAAAAAGAACTACTAGTTTTTATTTTATATTGTTTTTAATTTCCTGTGGATCAAAAGCACATGTCCAGTTGTAAATTGTGCCGAGACGAGTCAAAGTCTTAGTCAGAGAGCATTTGGAGGGATCAATTCACGTCGGTCAAGCTTTTCCCCAAGGTTTAGACTTTAGATGACAAGCCCTCACCCTACTGGACCACTTGCACTTCCTCCTCAACCATTGACTTCTTCACCAAATGCCAGAATTCCATTGACTTCTTCACCAAATACCAGAATTCTATTTAGCCACTCGCACTTGAAATGTGATTTCTATTTAGCCACTTGCACTTCCTCCTCAACCATTGACTTCTTCACCAAGATACCTGAAATAATTAAGGTGGTACTTTGATCTCCTGCATCACATTCTTATCACATTTTTCTTACACACCTTAGCTCTGTTATCTGCTTCGCCATAAACAGACTACGCACTAACCCTTCACTTCCTCAATGATCACCCAAATAGATATTCCTTCTTCCTCTTCTTCTTCTTCTCCTCCGACCCATCCATGGACATACGATGTGTTCCTCAGTTTCAGAGGAGAAGACACCCGCACAAATTTCACAGACTTTCTGTATACTTCTCTGATACAGAAAGGAATATTCACATTTAGAGATGATGAAGAACTTGAGAGGGGAAAGCCCATAGCTCCAAAACTCTCGAAAGCAATCGAAGCATCAAGATATGTAATTGTCATTCTTTCACGAAACTATGTCAATTCTACATGGTGCTTGGATGAGCTTGTAAAGGCTGTTGAATGCATGAACCTGATGGGACAAACAATACTCCCAGTTTTCTATCATGTGGATCCATCCGAGGTACGAAAACAGAAAGCAGATTTTGGGGAAGCCTTCTCTAAGCATGAAGAAGCCTTTAAAGACAATGAACAGAATGTGCAAAGATGGAGAGATGCACTTAATCAAGTTTCCAATCTCTCTGGATGGCATTTACACGATGGGTAAGACCTGAAGCTTTCTTCTTTTCTTGTTTTTTTTATTCTTTTTTATTTTTATTTTTTTTATTATAGACAATTATAATCCAGAAAGTAACTATGACTATAGAACCGATAAGAGCAACTCCACCCATTTGCCCCTTGCCATGGCAAGGGGGAAGCTAGGGCAAACACTATTCATGTGAATAGTAGTTGCCCTTACAAATAGTATTGTGTGTTTCCACCCGTTGTCATGGCAAATGGCAATTACTATTCATTTTTTTTGTTTTTTTCACGAATTTATTTACCTAAACAATTAATTTGGATAATATTTTCGGATAAGATTTTTGGGTTCGCACGTGTCAATATTTATTATAAAATTCATATCTCAATTGAATAAAATTTTGGTATTTATAGAAAAAAAAAAATCAGTAATTTTTTGGTTTTTTTTCAAAAAAAATTTGATTTCATTTTTCATTTTTTTATTGCACAAAAATTGGCTATCGTTGGATTGGAGAAAAAAATCTGATCGGAGAGCCCAGAGCGTGACAGGTGGATTGTAGCGGCACTGTAGACTACAACGCATTGTAGCACTGTAGCTCGTTGACATCAGCACCAAAACTCAAGCCGGAGCTCGGGCAGCCCTCGGGCTTGAGCTCAGGTTGAACTGGCCTGAGGGCCAGCCTGATTTCGTGGGACCCACTCCCAGCCCGGGCTTGGGCTGTCCGTTAGAACACTTTTTTTTTCCCCCCCCAGCCTTGGGCTCAGCCCTCCGCTGGAACTGCTCTAAGTGAAACATTTGACCTATTGCCACTAGTACTACCACAAAAAAAACTAAGGGTGAATGGTTTTATTAATCCCTGAACTTAGACCTGATTTGCATTTGAGTACCTCAATTTTCAAAATGGTTCCCGTGGTCCTTCAACTTCATTTCGTTAAGACAAATGGTTCTGTCGTCAATTTTGTTAACTTTTCTGTTAAATGCAGGGGTAAAATAGTATTTTTACATTTTAAATTTATTAAAATATAAATAAAATATTTATTAAAAAAACGTGAACTTCCACGTGGACAAAAAAAGTAATAAAAAATTCTTCTTTTTTTTCAAATATTAATTTAAAAAAACGTGATGTTCTTTTACAATTTTAAAGATATAATTTTTTATTCATTTTTATGGTTTTAATATAAAAATACCATTTTACCCCCGCATTTAACAGAAAAAGTTAACAGAAGTAACGGTGGGACTAGTTGTCTAAACGAAACTAAAGTTAAACCACAGGTACCATTTTGGAAATTGAGGTTCTCAAATGCAAATCCGGTCCAAGTTGGGGCACTAATAAAACCATTAACCCAAAAAAACTAACAAAGAAAAAGGCACGGTTTTGGTTTTAAAGTATTTTGGGAACACTGGTTCCACTGAGTTAACTCATACAATTCTGTGAAGCATTCCATTATCTTTGGAACCTCATTGCTGCTGCATGACTTACCATGAGATGGTTATTATTTTGCAGTTATGAATCAAAAGTTATTCAAGATATCGTAGGAAAGATTTTCACCGAATTAAATCAAACAATCTCAAGTGTATCCACAGATTTAGTTGGGATGGATTCTCGCGTGAAAGAAATGCTTTCTTGCTTAGACATGGGGCTGCATAAAGTTTGTGTCATAGGGATTTTGGGCATTGGGGGAATAGGTAAGACAACTGTTGCAAGAGTTGTTTACGAGAGGATATGTGCTCAATTCCAAGCTTGTAGCTTTCTTGCCAATGTTAGAGAGGTAACTGAAAAACAAGGCCTAGTCGATCTGCAAAAGCAACTTCTGTCAGATATCTTGCTGGAAAGTAATGTAAATGTACATAATATTTATCAGGGGATCAGTTTAATAAGGCAGAGACTACATACTAAAACGGTTCTTATCATTCTTGATGATGTGGATACTGTGGAACAACTGGAAGCATTATGTCATCATAGTTGGTTTGGTTCAGGGAGTAGAATTATCATAACTTCAAGAGATGAACATTTGTTGAGCACATTTGGAGTGAATAAAATGTATAAGGTTAAGGAATTAAATGGTTCTGAAGCTGTTAAACTCTTTAGTTGGAAAGCCTTTAAGAAAGACCAAGTTGGAGAAGGTTTTCTCAAGCTGTCTAAGAATGTGGTTGAATATGCCAGTGGTCTTCCATTGGCTCTTACAGTGTTGGGTTCATTCCTTTTTGGTAAAAGCGTAAAACAATGGTCAAGTGCATTGGATAGACTAAAAGAAAATCCCGATAAAGGAATTATTGATGTGCTTAAAGTAAGCTTTGACACATTACAAGTCACCGAAAAAAAAGTATTTCTGGACATTGCATGTTTCTTTAAAGGGGAGGACAAAGATCGTGTAGCAAAAATACTAGAAAGTGGCTGCGGATACTGTCCAGACATTGATATAAAAGTTCTGATAGATAAATCTCTAGTAACTCTAGTTGGAAGAAAATTGTGCATGCATGATTTGATACAAGAATTGGGTTGGGAAATTGTACGTCGAGAATGTCGTGAAGATCCAGGAAAACGTAGCAGGTTGTGGCTTCCCAAGGATATCATCCCCGTACTTGTACAAAATAAGGTTAGAAATTAATATAAGTACAGTTGTTAAAACTAATTATTAATCTCAGTTTATGCTGCTGTATCATGCTTATACCTTATTTCTTGTTCCTTTTTATTAAGGGAACGGATACAATTGAAGGTATATTCCTCAACTCGTTGAAACAGGAGGATGTTGACTTGAATGCTAATTCCTTCTCAAAGATGTCCAACCTAAGATTGCTCAGAATTTGTAATGTGGCCTCTCCTAGATCCATTGAATATCTTTCTAGTGAGTTACAACTTTTGGAATGGCATGCATGTCCTTTAAATTCTTTGCCGTCAAACTTTCAATCAGATAAGCTTGTTGAACTCAAAATGCATTTGAGCCGTGTCAAACAACTGTGGAATGGAAATGAAGTAAGATTATATTCTTGTGCATGTTTATATTATTTAGGTATCAACCAAATGTTTTTTCTAATTCATATGATTATTTTTCAAATATTATCAGAGCTGGAGCATGCTAAAGTGCATCGATCTGAGTGATTCCCAATACTTGATCAAAACCCCAAACTTCACTAAAGCTCCAAATATTGAGATGTTGGTGCTTCAAGGATGTTCAAGATTGGTTGATGTTCACCCGTCCATGGGAGTTCTCAAACAGCTTATCTTGCTGAATATGAGAAACTGCAAATCTGTAAAGATTCTTCCGTCTTTCATTAGTATGGAATCTCTTGAGAGTTTAAATCTGTCCGCCTGTTCAAGACTCAAGAAGTTTCCTGAGATAGAAGGCAATATGGAAAGCCTGTTGGAGCTTCATCTAGATGGGACTGCCATAGAAGAATTACCTCCATCAATTGAACATTTGACCAGTCTTAAATTGTTGAATCTAGGATACTGCAAAAACCTTTGTCATCTTCCGAGTACCATTCAACATTTGACATCTCTGAAAACTCTCATTCTAACTGGTTGCTCAGAACTTAATGACATACATGAGAATCTGAATTGTGTGGAATGTCTGGAGGAGCTTGATATAAGTGGAACTGCTATAAGAGAATCGTCGTTCATTGTAGGTTTGAAGAATCTAAAGTCTCTATCTTTTCGAGGTTGTAAAAATCGGCCTTCAAGATCATGGCATTCAGTCTTTAATTATTGGTGGCGGGGTAGAAATGGTCATGTTCCTGGTAGTTTATTGTTGCCTACTTCACTTTCAGGTTTAAGTTCTTTGACAAACCTAAACTTAAGTGATTGTAATCTGATGGATGGAGAAATTCCCAATGATCTTGGTTCCTTGTTCTCCTTAAAAACATTAGATTTAAGGCAGAATAATTTTGTTGGCTTACCTGAAACCATCTCCCAACTCTCCAAGCTTGAATTTATCAATGTGAGCAAGTGTAGCAGGCTTCAATTGCTGCCTAAGAAGCTTCCATTAAGTCTTCAACGTGTGAATATGGAAGATTGTGCTTCACTGATAGACTTCCCAAATCAAATCAAAATATTTGCTTCACCTCTCTTGGGAAAGACTACTAGCGATTCCCGCATTTCATCCAAGCTTCAAGATTTCAATTATGAGAAACAAGAATGGAGACCAGTTGACGATTTGCAAATTCAACTGCTTCAAAGACAGCTTGAAGTCTCTCTCTCTCTCTCTCTCTCTCTCTCTCTCTCACACATACACACACATGGAAACACATATAACTTATAAGCAAACACAGGGCATCCTGTTTTTCATGACTACTTATAATCCTTTTCTGTTTTGTGTTACAGGTATTGAACTATAGATTTACTCCCTTACAAGCAGTTAGTTATCAAACTGAAATTCCAGAGTGGTTCAGCCATATGGTTACAGAGTGTTCTATTGCAATCCAGCCATCTCCAGATTTGAGTGATTATATAAAGTTGATGGGGGTTGCCCTATGTGCTGTTTTCTCAGTCAAGGGACATCCTGCTGTCTCTTGCATTGGATCGGATTTAGGAACTTCTTACTTCTATCAATGCAAATTGCCAATTCATAAATTTTTTGAATCTAAACCATTTATCCTTCATGGCAAGCTACATCGCAAATTTGGAACTGATGATTTTCTTTGGGTTTTCTATTTACCTCGTCGGTTCTTTCCAAATGTGTTAAGTGATTCAAGTGTAATGGGTGCTCTATTTGAAACCAACAACCCGTGCATGGAAGTCAAGAAATGCGGGGTTCGTCTAGTGTATGAGCAAGATGTTGCAGGGTTTATCCAAACATTACTGCAGTGTGTTACTACTGGACCCCAGCCACATCAAATTGTCCCTTATGATGATGACTACAAGATAATTGAAGAATGTGATGAAGATGGCTTTAAAACTGGATGGTTTAGTATAGTGGATAACGTTTGGAGATGGTAAAATTTATTTGTCTGAGAAGTATGTATGTTGCATCGTAATAAATTTTCTCCATAGTTGATTTGACCTTGCATATTACATTTGAATATGATTGCAGGGAGAAATTAATTCCAGCTTATGAAGGTGGTGTTCAATTACCATTTTGGTGTAACGTCTGGATAAGGTGTAGGACTGGACTTGCCTTTCTGGCGTGAAGTTTCGAAGCAGGAACATCAGAGGAAACAGAGGATCCGGCCAGTCAGACGAGGTTGGGTGGCCGGTAGTGTTACTCCAAGAAAAAATGTGAAACGTACTTGTGTATTAAGCCCTTGCTTATTCTGTTTTCATTACAAGATCAATATAATTTTGCTTTGCTTTTTGCATCTCTCAATATATTGACACCAAAGAAGAAAAAAAACCTTCAAGTAGACTATGCGAATTGTCTCTCAATATCTCACAATAATTAATACATGGATTCCAAAGGAGAAATTCCCTTTTCTTTTAAAAGCAAAGACTGTTACATTGCATTTGCTTTAGTTTTAAGTACTCTGGTTTTTAATGAATTGTGAAGGTCATGGTGGTCTCAAGTAGCCGTTGGCTTTTAAGCTTTGTTTGGAATTGTATCCTGTGTCTGAATGTTGGTTGTCAAGCTTCTGGGCTCCATCTTCATCCCCACGCCATGTGTTGGTTTTGGTATTCGTCCAGTCTCGTTTGTTATTTGCTGCACTTGCATCCCATTAATTGGTGTGTGGTGGGCGAGTGGCCTGATGATCCAAGTCATGATCCAAGTGAAGCAACAACAAACAAGAGTGCCTTGTAGCCTTAGACAGTGTTCAAATGTGATTTCATATTTTGGTTTTGGGTGGAAGAACTATCTGCCTCAAACAGTTGAGGTAATACTTTGATCTTTGTCGTCAGATTAAATACATGCTCAGAAATAATTTCATTAAAAAAATTTCCCTCCATCACCCGATAATTCTGTATGCCAAGTTTGGCGAGTTATTAGACTAAGCCAAGTTGCAAACCAACCTTGAACAACAAACAAAAAGACTATGCCCACCAACTGTTTGTTGAAAGGATAATTTCAGACAAAACAAAAAAAAAACCTTGTCCAAGCTGAAATGAGTCTCGTTGACGACGAAAGTGATTGGCCTCTCTTCTATGCATTTGTTTGGTTTCGGGGCTTTAAAAGGAAGGAGAATTTAATAATGCGAAGTGTTGCTAAAAACAGAGCAGCAACCGTCAAACACTCCTTCAATAATGATAACCCAAGCAGATATTTCTTCTTTGTCTTCTTCTTCTTCTTCTCCGACGCCTTTATGGACGTACGACGTCTTCCTCAGTTTCAGAGGCAAAGACACCCGCACAGGTTTCACAGACCATCTCTATGCTGCTCTGATTCGGAAAGGAATTATCACATTTAGGGATGATGAAAAGCTCAAGAAAGGAAAATCCATCTCCGAGCTCTTCAATGCAATTGAACAATCAAGGTATGTGGTCGCCATTCTTTCGAGTAATTATGGCGATTCGACATGGTGTTTGGATGAGCTTGCAAAGGCTGTTGAATGCAAGGAACTGATGGGACAGACACTAATCCCAATTTTCTTTCACGTCCATCCATCTGAGGTGGGAAATCAAACAGGGAGTTTCGAGATAGCCTTTTCTAAGCATGAACAAGCCTTTAAAGGTAATTTAGAAAAGGTGGAAAGGTGGAGAGCTGCACTTTCTCAAGCAGCCGGTCTCTCTAGATACCATTATTTGCATAATGGGTACGCAAAACTTACTATTCTTCAAGTTTTTTTAATTCTTCTTTTTTACAAAAGCAGATATTCTATATGGTAGGCTACTAGATTTTAATAATTAGAAGAAGTAATGAACTACAGTTTTAGAAATTATGTTCAATTATTTTTGGTTATTGCATTTCTGGTGCTGACTGACTTACCCATGAGATGGTTATTTATTATTATTAGTTGCAACCTTTTGCAGATATGAATCAGAACTCATTCAAACTGTTGCCCTCAATATTTCCACTGAATTATATCAAACAATGCCAAGTGCATTTACAGATTTAGTTGGGATGGATTCCCGCGTAAAAGAAATGCTTTCGTACTTAGAGATAGGGTTGAATAAAGTACGCATGATAGGCATTTGGGGGATGGGGGGAATTGGTAAGACAACTATTGCTCATGTAGTTTCTGAAAGGATATGTGCTCAGTTTGAAGCATACAGCTTTCTTTTGAATGTTAGAGAGGTAACTGAAAAACAAGGTGTAGTTCATTTACAGAATAAACTTCTTTCAGATATCTTGTTGGAAAGTAGTGTAAGCATACACAACACTTATACAGGAATCAGTATAATTAGGCGAAGATTATGTACTAAAAAGGTTCTTATCATTCTTGATGATGTGGATCGGTTAGAACAATTGAGGGCATTGTCTGGCCATAATTGGTTCGGGCCAGGGAGTAGAATCATCATAACCTCAAGGGATAAACGTGTGCTCATAGAACATGGAGTGGACAAAATATATCAGGTTAAGCCATTGACTAACAATGAAGCTCTTCAGCTCTTTAATTGGAAATCCTTCAGGAGTGACCAGGTTGGAGAAGAATTTCTCGAGCTATCTAAGAGTTTTGTAAAATATGCTAATGGCCTCCCATTGGCCATTGAAAATCTAGGTACATCCCTCTTTCAGAGAAGCCTAGAAGAATGGCCAGGTGCATTATTTAGACTAAAAGAAAGGCCTGACAAAATAACTTTTGATGTTCTTAAAGTAAGTTTTGACGGATTACAGGAAATAGAAAAAAAAATATTTTTGGACATTGCATTTTTCTTTAAAGGAGAGGACAAATATCGCGTAACAAGAATACTAGAGAGTTGTTATGGCCACTGTCCAGCCATTCATATTAAAGTTCTCATGGAAAAATGTCTTCTAACTCCATTTGGAAGAAAATTGTGGATGCATGATTTGATACAAAAATTGGGTTGGGAAATTGTTCGTCAAGAACATCCTGAGGCAGGCAAACGTAGCAGGTTGTGCCTTCCCAATGATATCATCCCTGTGCTTGAAAATAATACGGTAAGAAATCCATAGAACTACAGATCTAGAGATTGTTAAACTTAAAACTAAGTAATTCATCGTCTTTCTATTTCTCGTATTGGGTGCTACAACTAATTCTTTCTTCTTCCTCTTTATTAGGGAATGACTGCGGTCCAAGGTGTATTCCTGAATTTTCAAAAAAATGAGGAGATTAACTTGAGTGTTAATGATCCTTTTTCGGAGATGAAAAATCTAAGATTGCTCAAAATTTGGAACGGGGACTTTTTTGGAAAAGCCAAATATCTTTCTAACCAGTTAGCATTTTTGGAATGGCATGAATGTGCTTTAAATTATTTGCCATCAGAATTTGAATCAGATAAGCTTGTCGAGCTCAAGATGCATTCAAGTCGCATTAAACAACTATGGACAGGGGATAAGGTAAGATCACTGTTAGTCTTCTGCATGCACATTGTTGAATATATTTGAAGTTGGGGATATTTTTAGATTCTAGTCCCTGATCTATAAGATGTATTTAGAAAACCATGTAGCCTTTATCATAATCATATAAGGTTTGTAAAGACTTTTCAGTCTGTCTAGTGCTGAAACATCCATGCTAGTATGTTAAAAAATAAAAATAAAAATAAAAAGTTATCCTCTTGCCAAAATTACTATTACTGCTGTGTCATAATTACTCTCTCTCTCTCTCTCTCTCTCTCTCTCTCTCTCTATTCTTTTTTCAAATTGTGAAAATATCATAGCTTTCATCCTACATAAAATTCTATTGAAAGACAAAAGCAAACAGAAGTATATTTGAGACATATCATTATGGTAATGCAGTATAATTCACTTCTTCACATCATGAGAATGTATCTATATTATCTTGATGTGGTACAAGGCAGCTTTTCACAACATATAGTATCATATAGTATCATGGATACATGCTGCAACATAACTCACTTTTTATCTGTGCACATTGTCTTCACTGAGTTTCTGTATACAATATTCATCTTAGGTCTTGTTTGATAGATCTTGCAACTACAAGTTTATGAACAAACATGTAAAATGAATTTGTGGTACTTAGAATTTTAGAGAGAAAAAGAAACTTTCTAAAAGGGGTACTAGTTAACAATTACAAGGGCTATTGCTAGTAACTTTCCAAAAAGGTACAGTAATCTCATAAAAACAGACACAACAATGAAGGAATCTAACTCAAATGGGGGAAAATCAAACATTTATATTTTAAACCAAAAAACACTTTTGATGAGGAGCCTTAAAAGAATTTATTACTAATTTTTCTACCAATTATTATTATTATTATTATTATTATTATTAGTTTTGGACGAACCAATTATTTTTCTTTCAAACTATGTGACTATGTTTCAAATGATACCAGCATTGGAGCAGGCTAACATTCATTGATATGAGTGACTCCGAGTACTTGACCAAGACCCCCGACTTCACTGAGGTTCCAAATCTTGAGATTTTGGTGCTTCAAGGTTGTACAAGACTGGTTGAGGTTCACCCATCCATTGGAGATCTCAAAAAACTTATTTTGTTGAATATGAGAAACTGCAAATGTGTTGAGAGCATTCCACCTTTCAAAAGTTTGAAATCTCTTAAAACCTTTGCTCTGTCCTCCTGTTCAAGACTCAAGAAGTTTCCCGAAATTGAAGGAAATATGAAATTCTTGTTGGAGGTCTATTTAGATGAGACTGCTATTGAGGAATTGCCTACATCAATTCAACATTTCACCAGTCTTACATCGTTGAACTTAAGAGACTGCAAACACCTTTTGTCTCTTCCGAGTACCATTCAATATTTGACATCTCTGAAAAGCCTCATTCTAGCTGGTTGTTCAAAGTTTGATGAGATACCTGAGAATCTGAGTTGTGTGGAATGTCTAGAGGAGCTTGATATAAGTGGAACTGCTATAAGAGAATCATCATTCGTTGTAGGTATGATGAATCTAAAATATTTATCCTTCCGAGGATGTAAAGATATACCTTCAGAATCATGGCACTCGCTCTTTAATTGTTTGTGGTGCAGAAAGAGCCATGTCCCCACGAGTTTGTTGTTGCCTACTTCCTTCTCAAGTTTAACTTGTTTGACAGAGCTAGACATAAGTTATTGCAATCTGATGGATGGAGCAATTCCCAATGATTTTGGCAGCTTATTGTCCTTAAGAAAATTAAATTTAGGTGGTAACAATTTTGTTCGGTTACCAGAAAGCATCTCTCAACTCTCCAAGCTTGAATCTCTCAACTTGAGTAATTGTAGAAGGCTTCAATCGCTTCCTAAGCTGCCATTAAGTGTTCAACATGTGAATGCAGAACATTGTATTTCACTAATGGATTGCCAAAATCAATTCAAACTATGTACTTCAGCTGTCTCAGAAATGACGACTGTCAATTCCCTCAACTCATCCGAGAACCAAGAATATTGTACTTCAGTTCCAAGATGTGTCTCAAGAACGTATACTTCTGCAGGCTTTGGAATCACTACTTTCAGTATATCATCTGAGCATCAACAATGGAAACCAAGTGTTGATTCATCGATGCCAACTCAACTGTTTCAAAAAGACCTTGAAGTCTCTCTCTCTCTCTCTCTCTCTCTCTCTCTCTCTCTCTCCACAGCACACACATGTAGCATTTCAGACACACTTAAATACTTATAGTCCTTTTCTGTTTTACGTTGCAGTTATTGGATTGTAGGTCATATTCCATGAGCTCTGTTTGTGCTCTAAATGAAATTCCAGAGTGGTTCAGCAATGTAGTTACTGGCGATTCCATAGAAATCTCAATACCTCCAGATTTGAAAGATAATAAGAAGTGGATGGGGGTTGCTGCTGTTTTCTTAGTCAAAGGACACCCTGCTGTTTCCGACAGTGAATCAGATTCAGAAACTTCTGATTACTTATATAGATTCACATTGCGAACTCATGAGTTTCAACTGGAACCATATCTCCTTGACTGGAAAGAAAGTTGCACCTTTGTCAGATTTAATTCTGATTGTTTTCTTTGTTTTTTCTATGTATCTCATCTGCGCTTTCCGAGGATGTTAAATGAATCAAGATCAATGTGGGCTTTATCGGAAACCAGCAGCCTGTGCATGGTGATACAGAAATGTGGGATTCGTCTTGTTTATGAGCAAGATGTTGCAGGGTTTATCCAAACATCTATGCAGTGTTTTGATGGAGGCCAACATCAAATTGTTCTACAGGAAGTTGATAAAGCTACATTTGAGAGTCTGGATGGTTTAATGTAGTGCACAAGTACATTTTGAGACGGTAGAATTTAATTTTCCTTGAACTATGTTCTTTGTGTTTCATTTAAATTTCGTCATCATTGATGTGCCGTCATCTGCTTGAAAAGTAGACATTAACTCCTTTTTTTTCTCCTTGTGTGTGTCTATATATATATCCTTGCAGCCTTGCAGGGAGGAACTACTTCTGAAGAAGGCTCTAATTCTGCTGAGAAGGAACATTAAGTCGGTTATTCTGAGATGCCTTCAGCTCTCTCTCTCTCTCTCTCTCCTCCAAATTGGGTCGTTGATGGTAATCAGATCATTTCGTGTCAAGTACCACCAGATCTCAAGAATTCATGGGCCGACGGGCGGCCAGGACAGAATGGGTGGGAACTACTAACCATGCGGAGAAAGTCATGTGGTTGCATGCATGCATTGAATTCTATTTGCTTCATCTATATCGCACGTGCTTGAATTCCTGATTCCTGGAAGCATAAGTAATGAATTCAGGACAACTGTTCTGCCGCGTCCAATATAGCCTTGGCTTAGGATTGCATGAATGTGCCCTTGGTCCCCTCCCCTGCCAGTTATATGCAAATTGCCACCTAATAATCATTGTGATTCTCAAGCTGCAGAAGATGAAGATGATAATCATGTTACGTCCATGTTAAACGCATTTGACAGAAAGGCAAGGAAGAAGGGTTGCCTTCCAAATTCCTTTTCTTTAGTAAATTTTTGTGAAACTTTGAAAATAATGTTGTATATAAAGGGATAAGATATTTTCTTCCGGTATATTCATTATTTTGATGGTGATAATAAATTAGTGATTGTTGGTTCCAGCTTTCCATCCCATATGCTCAGCATTGTTTCTGAACATGTAAACTCTGAAAATAAATAACAACCCTTTAGAAGAGCAGTGGATTTCCAGACAAAACTGAAACTTGGAACTGTTGCAGCGGCAAGAGCGAGAGCAAGAGCACTTCTTCTTTGATCCAATTGGTAATTTTTGAACCTGAAAATCAATCTCTACTCTTTCAGCTCAAGGAAAAGGAAGCCTTGATGTTACGCCCATGTGCTTGTGCGCGTCGCATCTCTCACAGAGCCTTTAGCACAATCAACCTTCCCACGCCTTCAGGCCTCAATTTGCAAACGAATAATCTTCTCGGCGAAGTGCGGGATCTCTCCACGCGCGGTCAAGTTAAGGAAGCCCTCTCACTCTTCTACACCCTTCAACCACCACCTCACTGCAATCAAACCTACGCCACTCTCTTCCATGCTTGTGCTCGCCACCACTGCATCCATGAAGGCTTGTCTTTGCACCATTACATGGTTGCCCAGAAACCCATCAACTCACCTGACCTCTTTGTCACGAACCACCTTATAAATATGTATGCAAAATTTGGTTACCTAGAATACGCCAACCAACTGTTTGATGAAATGCCTAGAAGAAACATTGTCTCTTGGACTGCTCTCATTTCAGGGTATGCACAACGCGGGGAAACTGAAAATTGTTTTCGTTTATTTGCTGGCATGTTGGTGCACTACCAACCCAATGAGTTTGCGTTCGCCAGCGTTCTCAGCTCGTGTGTGAAGAGTGACGTTGGATATGGCCGGCAGGTACATGCGCTTGCTTTGAAAATGTCTTTGGATGCTTGTGTTTACGTTGCAAATGCTCTTATTACTATGTATAGCAAGATTTGTAATCATGGAGGTGTTTATGATGTTAGTAAAGACGAGGCGTGGAATGTATTTAAGAGCATGGAGTTCCGGAATCTTATATCTTGGAATTCCATGATTGCAGGGTTTCAGTATCGTGGACTTGGAGCTCAAGCTATTCATCTTTTTAGACAAATGTACCTTGACGGGAATGGGTTTGATCGTGCCACGCTTCTTAGCGTCCTTTCTTCCATGTGCAGAAGCAATGACCTTGATGATAATGGGGTTACTAAGTTTTGTTTTCAATTGCACTGTCTCACCATCAAAGCTGGGTTTACATTAAAAATTGAAGTGGCAACTGCATTAGTTAAAGCTTATTCAGATCTTGGAGGAGATATTGCCGACTGTTACAGACTCTTCTCAGAGACAAGTTGTCATCGGGATATTGTTGCGTGGACTGGCATCATAACCACCTTTTCAGAGCAAGACCCTGAAGAAGCACTCTTCCTCTTTCGCCAGTTACGCCAGGAGAACTTACTTCCCGACAGGTACACTTTCTCAATTGTTTTAAAAGCTTATGCAAGCCTTGCAACCGAGCGCCATGCCTTGGCAGTTCATTCACAAGTGATCAAAGCTGGGTTTGAGGGTGACACAGTCCTTGCAAATGCCTTGATCCATGCCTATGCTAGGTGTGGCTCCATTGCCTTATCTAAGCAAGTGTTTGATGGAATTGAATTTTATGATGTCGTTTCTTGGAACACAATGCTTAAGGCTTATGCCTTGTATGGACAAGCTACAGAGGCATTGCAGCTCTTTTCACAAATGGACGTCAAACCTGATTCCGCCACCTTTGTTTCCCTGCTCTGTGCTTGTAGCCATGCTGGGCTGGTAGAAGAAGGAACCCAAATCTTTGACTCCATGCTTGAGAGGTATGGTATTGTACCTCAACTTGATCATTACGCCTGCATGGTTGATATTCTTGGTCGAGCTGGAATGATTGTTGAGGCTGAGGAGCTTGTAAGTAGAATGCCAATGGAGCCTGATTCTGTAGTCTGGAGCGCACTCCTTGGATCATGTAGGAAGCATGGAAAAACACAATTGGCCAAGTTAGCAGCAAATAGATTGAAGGAGCTAGCACCAGAGGATTCATTAGGTTATGTACAAATGTCAAACATGTATTGCTCTGATGGTAACTTTGGTGAAGCAGGCCTGGTTAGGAAGGAAATGAAAGGGTCTAGAGTGAAAAAGGAACCTGGATTAAGCTGGATTGAGATCGGAAATCGGGTCCATGAGTTTTCATCTGGAGGCCGACATCATCCAGAAAGGAAAGTTATATGCAGCAAGCTAGAAGAACTGATTGTGCGGTTAAAGGAAATGGGTTATGTTCCAGACACAAGCTTGTCTGTGCATGATGTGGAAGAGGAACACAAAGAGGAGCAATTGTACCATCATAGTGAGAAGCTGGCTTTAGTATTTGCTATCATGAATGAAGGCAGTTCAAACTGTAGTCGGACTGCTATTAAAATAATGAAGAACATCAGAATCTGTGTGGACTGCCATAACTTCATGAAGTTAGCATCAAATTTACTTCATAAGGAGATTTTTGTGAGAGACTCAAACCGGTTCCACCACTTTCATGATGGCATATGTTCTTGCAATGACTATTGGTAACAAACTAGCAACACGAAACCAAATTAAGCTGGTTGTGCCGGTTTTATCACTATGCTTCATCGGTCCCTGAATGGTTCATGCAGATGCTGTTGATACAATCTTTAATTTAAAGATAGGCAGTGCTTTTCGAACAACTCAGTTCACTATGCAAGAATTACCTGCATGAGCATGACTGGAATTTATCAGAGCTCGACTGCAAAAGAGATGAACTGCCTACTTATAGGAATGCAATGCAACTGATCATCATCAAACTTATAGTCGATTCAGCATTGGGTGCTACAACACATTTGTGTTGAGAACATATGAACAGAGTGTAAAGTTTTCGAAACCGAGGACTTGTCGATTTGCTAATGTAAGATGCAAAAAGGCTGTGTTGTACAGTAACAGTATGATTGTTGGCAATTACCAGCAAACCCATTTTGCGCTTAAAAAAAATGGCGCAAACCCATTTTATGGTTTAATACCACTGAAAATGTATCAAAGATTTTAATTATTATTTTCTTTTTTGGACACCCAGAACTCTGCTTTTTATTGCACATTGTTGAGAGTATGGAAAACCTAGGAAATTTCGTCTTCTTGTCAAATCCAAATCTTTTCTTTCAAAAACCCACATAGAAATGGAGACTCAAATTCCATTCCATGATGGGATTGAATGAAAAAAAGAAGTAAAATTAGGTACTATATTCCCCATGTCTAGTTGGTAGAGGGTTTATCCTTCCCTGCTTAGTTTTCTATTCTTGGGCCTTGGGCCTTGGGCCCTCCTATGTATCCAAAGAAAAAAAAAATTAACAGAACACGAAAATTGCTAAATTTAATGTTTTTTCTCCTTTCCTTTCCCGGGGAGGAGAGGGAAAGAAGACGTGTCGTTGTATTATTCATTACAGCCTTTAAAAAGGAATACTAGTAAACAGTATAAATAAATCAAACGACGCCCCTCCTTCGTTGTAAGATTTCAAGATCAACATTTCTTCTCTCTTCAAACAAAGCACCAGGGTCGTTTTTGTCTGTCTTTGACTGCGTCGTTTCGAGCTAGGGTTCCGCCTCCGATCTAACTGCTAAGGAAGTTCAACCCACCATGTCCACGCACTCAAAATCCAGTGTTTACATAGGTCAGTACACTGCTCCTATAATTTTTTTTAAAAATTCTCTAGTAGCAGTTCCCCTTAAAGTCAGTAACTCGAAAACATCATTTAAAAAAATTAATTCTTTTCCATGCTTGTTTGATGGAAGCTGGTTTTTTTTTTCTTTTCCTCTTAGGAATTGGTTTTCATATATTATTTTCATTTTGTTTATATATAAAAAAGTGTGTGTGGATAAGTTTGTGCTTCTGGGTGCCAATGAAAATTTCAAGATTCAAAATTTAGTTTGAAAAGTGTTTCTGCTGAATGACTCTTGTATTGTAGGGAATTATTTTGTTATATCTATGATGAAGAATTAATCTTCAGAATAAATGGTAATGATTAATAAAACTAATCTAATAAATGGTAACATGTACTGCCCCCTTGCTTCTATCTTCATTTATTTTTTTCCTATTAATTATGACATTTATTTTTAACAATAACAGGTAATTTGGACGAGCGAGTGAGTGAGAGAGTTTTGTATGATATTCTAATTCAGGCGGGGAGGTTAGTAGACCTACACATTCCTCGGGACAAGGAAACCGACAGACCTAAAGGTTATGCTTTTGCAGAGTATGAATCTGAGGACATTGCTGAGTATGCTGTTAGGCTCTTCTCTGGTCTTGTGACTCTCTACAATCGGACACTGAAGTTTGCGGTAATTTTTTTGCATTCCACTTGTTCTCCACAAATGGTCTTCTATTTCTTTGGCCTGGGTTTGGGCCCTTTAACATTTATAGATACTGTGAGACTCTCCATTAATATTCTGGAATAGTGAGAATTCTGTCATTTCACCTGATGATTTATATTCTTGCTGTTATAACCCAATGACAGTGATGTTAGCTCATGTTATGTGGGTTGCCTTTCTGTGATTGGTGACAGACCAGCATTTGGAACATTTTCACTGTAGGCTATTACTGTTCTAAGTGAGACCCTTGACATTGATTCATTTTTTTGGCTCACAGATTTCTGGGCGAGACAAGCCTTCACTTAATACTCCTTCAACGGTCACATCCGCATCTAGTTTTTCTCACAAACTGAGGTCTGCTCCATCACCAATTAACAATTTGGAAATCTCTCCGAATTCCATTGGTTTATCAACACCCAGAATTTCAGACTTTCCACTAAACTATCCCCCAGGTGATATGTTTGTTCTTTCCTTCTGTTTCATTTGCTTGGTTTCATTGTTTTAATTTAAAAAACTCAACATGCCATCATTTGGCTTCTTTTTTTTCATACTTGCTGAAACATTCTTTTTTTTATTCAGTGCCCACTCCCCCTGGTGTAAATAAACAATCTAATGGGTATGGATTACCTAACAATGGCAACAATTACGAATATAGTCGAAGAGTTATTGGGGCAACTTTGGATACCATTAGTCGCTCTAGGTCACGCCGCCATGATATGAGCAACCCAATCTCCTATCCCTCTTACTAGAATTTAATATGAAGGTGATTAGGTGTCAGACCTTTTCCATGGCTAATCTTTCTGGTAAATTAGCAACTAAAGTGTATTACTGGTGTGAGTATTTAGTGGGTAGTGGAAGGTTCTCCATTTGAGTAAGCTAGTTTGTATTGCTAGTATGTCCATTCATAGGTGTACCCAGGTATGTATATTTGTTGTGCTTCCTGTGTTTAGATTTGACTAGTTGTAGTTTTGCTCATGTAGTTAATGTAGTTTGATTAATTAACAGTAAGATGCTTCTCTCAAGAGGCTGAACTTTGGAATTCAAAGAAACAAGTTTATCATATGATTGTTTATTTATGTACTCCATTTGGAATCATTATGTCTTTTTTTTTATCATAATTTTAATGTTTTTCATTTTTGTTCTGATTTCTTGTATGTAATTGTGAACATTTAAAGCAAAGCTTGATGGAGTTCCATTGAAATCATGAGACTGGTACACTTTATTTGTTGTGCTTATATACGCTCTCTCTATATGCATGTATGCCCAATATGTGCATGCAGTGATCCCATATTGTGTTCTTTTGTTAGTTTATATTTTCTCCATAGCTGTGTAACAACTCAATGAGATTAGTTTTGTGCTATGCAAAGTAGTTACAAGTTGTCGGTTTGAACTTAGCATTCTCCATCCACTACCTAAGTCCAAGTTGAAATGGTTTATTCTTCTAGAAGCGTAAAGTGATATGTATGACTTAGAGGAGTTGAATTTCCATTGTCATTATTTTGACTATTAATATGGTCTAATATGGAGGCTAGTATGGATGCAGCATTTTGGTTAAAAGTTGCTCCACTATTTTGAGTGGGCTGCATTGTAAGCTTCTTGATGCTGTTGTGGTAGTGGGTCTAGAGGTTATTGGTTATGAGAAGCTCTATTTTTGAAATTATGTAATTAATGAAACACCAAGCCTCTAGGTCTAGAAGGGGCTTCCTGGTTAAATAGGATTCGTTTTTTATCTTATATATCAACTACATTGTTTTTGGAAACAATAATTACATAAAGCCTAAAACAACGTACAATAGAAAATCCAGGCTCTAATACATGCTCTATGTGTGTTGTTACATATGTATGTCAAAGGGGACAGTCCCAAGAGTCAAGAGGTAGATTTTTAAGTTAAAACCAGTCGAACTTTGGGTTCATTTATTAAAGGATAAAGAGCGAAGAGGTGTTGAAATAATGGGTGTAGAACGTTGCAATGTTAATTGCATTGGTCAAACTTTTGTTTGGATCATGGTGGTTTGATTTGGTCATTTGTGATCAAGTCTAGACTGTGTTTGATATTACCCTATTCAGGGTTTATTTATGTTTTAAGATATACTGTCATTTCATTTGTTACATTGAATGTTTAACTTAATGCAATCTCCTTTTTAATGAATTGTGTTAGTCTTGTAATATAGTTCTATATTTCTTCGATCAAGACTACATACACTTTATCAGCATTGCTCATTGAATATGAAAGGAGCATCACATGTGCCCTTTCCTGTTTTATTTTCATTTAGTGGACTATCTTACTTTCCTTTTTCTATTTATTTTTTTAACTTTTGGCTTCTTCAGGCGGAGCTTTGATTGAGATTTTCTTGGGTTTTTATTGTATGAATATGAATTTCATGCTCATTCAAATATAGAAATGCCTTCTTCCCTTTGAGTACTGCTAAATAGATCAAATTTTGGGACCACATTACCTGACCACATTGTGTGACAGGTGATGTGTGTATTAGTGGTATATTAACAGATGTGATAATAATCAATTCCTACATGTTACATAATGTCATCTAGATATGTGGTTTGTTGGTGTATACAAATGCAATGTTGGTGCTCTCTTGTGCTCATTGAAGATTGATCAAGCAATTGCATGCGGTAAAAATCTGATTTGGTGTGCACATGCATTTCTTCTTTATCAAGATATGATTTGGTATTAAGGTTTTGCATTTGCACACCAAATCTGATTTGTACTGCAAGATTAATCAAACGTTTCTTTAGTTTCTCAGTATTATGTGCGCATGAATTTCTTCCTTATCAGGATATGATTAAGTAGAATGGTAGAGCATGTCTTCTGCACGTGTATGATATGTGCACACTTACCTCACACACTGAGAGATATATTTTCACATACAATGCTCCTCTCATATAAATGGTTATGTGATCAGCACATGATGAGGCAGGGTAACTGCTGAGACAGTGACAGTGTTTTCTTTTTATTTTGGTATTTTTGGAAATCTGTTAGTAGAAATAAGATAATGTCAAGTGAAGTTGCAGGGTATCTATGAGTTGAAAGATATCACGTATTATAAGTTTTTAGCTTTAATTTATAGATTGTATAACACATGGTATTTCTTAACTGGACAATGTATGTCACTCATTCTACGCATGGGAGGAACACGACATGAAGTGCCCCTCTAAATTTCCCTAAACCAAAACATCGACAATTTCCTTGTCAATTCAGTGATCCCAAATAATTTTGTTCCATTGGTGTATTAATGGTCTCAAAATTGCTGTTGCAAGCTTTGGATTTTGAAAAGTTGAAAAAGTAATTTTGTTCGGTTTATTGGCTGTGGGCTAGTATTTCTTCAAATTCACAGCCAATAAAGAAAAAGATGATTCGCCTCTTTTTTCTCTCTTTCAAATGTTTCTTCAAACCCTTGAACAGAAGTTGAAAATTAAAAGCAGAAATTTTGTGGATGCCTTAAAAGTACTTTGTGGTTATGCGCATGACAGGGAGAGTAAGTACTGAACATGTATGTTATATTGAACTTGATGTGGTGCAGGTTCTCCGTGATGGTTTCTTATGTTACTTGGAAAACAAAGAATTTAAAAATTAAAAGAACTGGTCTTCATCCTCCCAAGAGATCCAATTCATCCTCTTTGTTAATCTGACCCGTCAATAAAGAAGTTGATAAAACATGAAGATGCCCCGTCAATATGGAGGAGAGGGAAAAACCATGATTTAATTGTGGATTGGTATCCTTTTCCCAAATCCCACGAGTTTCAACTAGCAAGCGAGATGCACAACCTATAAATCAGTTCTAGACAACTACAAATTGTACAATGTGTGGGCTGGGAGACAGGGCATCCATAATCTATCTTCCTAATTGGCTAATCAAAACTATATCGTCCTAATTAACTCGTACCCTATGGTGGTGAGGATGGCAATCCTAAAGGGTGGCAGAAGGAGTATTGGGCGTGAAGAGGTGGATGTATTGCCGCCGGGAGTTTGATCGGGAGTTAGAGAAGGATAACAGCATCAGATTCGGGTTCCAGTATCTTGTTTGAAGGACCCATGAAGCTTATGGCTGTCCCCAAGAGGAAGGTGATATGTTTATATAGTTTGTTGGATATGGTTGTTTCAGGGTTTAGCCAAAAAAAAACACTAAAATGTACTTGTTTTTTTAGGAAAGAGAAATACTTTCCTTCACTTTTGAAATTCATACTCGGGTATTTATTTGCCTGTGATTTGTAAGGTTTGTCAAACGGCTCGATACAGTTCGAGTTTGAGTTTGACTCGTTTTCTGCTGCTTCGAGCTCAATTTACAGAGAAATGAACTGAGCTCTAACAAAATATTGGACTCGTTTTACAACCATTTTCCTTCTTTGTAAAATTTGAAAACAGTCTCTTAAAAGTGGTAGCGTGATGTGATCTTCCCTTTCTTTCCTATGCATTATGCAACGTCGTAATTCTAACTCTTGGACCACACATGAAAATCCAAAAGCTTTCATTTTTGACTCATAACCTGCTCTTTGTGAGCCTACAGTCATCTACTTACCAAATCATACTAAAAAAGAAAACACAGAGAAAATAAATATCCCATCCATTTTATGGTTGGGATAATCAGAGATAAGTATCTACAATATAACCCACTCCTATCTGAGTTTTGAGGTGTCTCCAATCCAATCAACTTCTGTAGCTCCCGGCAAAGTATGCCAAGGGTCCAACAATAGCACCATTTATGTAGGTTGCAGGTTCTGAATGACTATAGTCGCTGCGGTCATCTGGGAACCCATCATTCTGATTTGGACCTCCCACAATGGCTCCAACCAAGATGTTAGGATTTGGGTTTGCTGAATAAAAGAATGGTTGGAAACCACCATCACAACCCATGTTCTGTGGATGGCTTGCCTTTGAAGGCAATGAAGATCCTCTGTGGTGAATTCTCTTGGGAAAATAGGGCCCATACCCTACCATGTACGACATCTTCAGAGGGTTTACCCCTAATATGTAGTCCACCTAAAATTTCAATTCAAATCAGTCATCTATAAATCATAAACATATACTTATGTTGTCAGACTGTGAAGTGGTATAGATTCGAATTAAGTGATATACCTGCTGTTTGGCCAGGATTTTTAAGGCTCTCGGAGTGACAACGAGGCTGCCGCAGTTAAATGTTTGCTTCCTAGCAGCCATGTACTTTGAGTAGGTAGTAAGCAAGAATGTTATTGAGGTTACATATTGGAGGTTACTTCCAGGCAGCTTGTACATGAGCCCTCCTTGTGTATATTGTGTACTTGAAGAGGGTGAGTTTGGAAAAATCCGGCACATAAATTGCTCAGCTTCTTGTCTAAATGGCTCAAAGTTGTTGTCGTTGCTCAACAATGCCCTCTGAAAAGTAAACCAGACTCCAATATTGAATAAATTTATAATTAATGAAAAAGAAAAAGGATATAGGCCTGCAAATTTACCCTTGACAATAGAACATAAGCACCAGCAAATTTGTTGTCCCAGCTGAAGATGTCTGTTGAATCACTAGCTCCCAAGGATTTCAGAAAATTGAAGTAATAAATATCATTTGTTGCTCTAAGAAGCCATGCAGCTCCCCACAAAAGCTCATCCTGAAATTTTGTACCAAATTGGAGAGCTCAGTCGTTAACATTTTTATTTTCCACTTTCCTTCTTAAAATTGATACATGTAGAAATTATTAGCAACAACATACCTTATATCCAGAATATGAGCAATAAAATGGACAGACTGCAGATCCAAGGGAATCACTGTAAGACCCTTGGTACCGCATCGCAAATTGCATCACTTCCTTGGCCGTGCTCAGCAGCAACTTGGAATATTTTGGGTCAACCTTTCGAAAAACCATAGAAGCAGCCGCTAATGCAGCGGCCGTCTCTCCAGCAACATCCGAGCCCGGATTGCTTTGTGAGACCGAATACACGGATCGAACCGTGTCCATGTCTTCAGGCCTCTCCCAGCACTTGTGGTCTACATTGGGGTCACCAACTCCAACGTAGAGCCTGCCGGGAGTGACTCGAGCGCACTTTAAAAGGTAGTCCGTGGCCCATCGGATTGCAGCCCGGGCATCTGATAATTGGGGGCCCATGCGCTTGCCATATTCAAGCGTGCCCCATGATAGCATTGTGGTGGTGAAGGCCATTGGGAAGTTAAATTTGACATTGTCTCCAGCATCATAGTATCCTCCAGTTAAGTCCACCTGCAAAATTGAAACAAAAGTTATTTCATGCAGGTAAAAACATGAGATGAAGGTTCATGCTAGTAAAAATATACAAACAGATGCAGAAGGACTCAAACCAACTCTTTTTATTTATTTATTTCCTTTCCTTTTAAGAAATCATTTTGACCTCCTCCCAACTTTTGACCACGCTTGGATTTCTTACCGGTGGCGGCGGTAGCATCACACCCTCTCCCTCCAGAACTTATTAAGAAAATTAGCAAGAACGGATTACAGAGACCATATTGTTTGCAGTGCAAATGGGTTTGCATGAGAGCTAATGCATTCATAAATAACTCAGAGATTAAGTATGCATAATGAACTTAATAAAGAAAAATAAATTAAAAATGATGACATGCAGGAAGTAAGTAGCTTATATATATTACATGTGACTGAAGACCATCAGAAAGCCCGGAATTGGACCTCCAGGTCATTTGTTGGGCTGCGCCGGAGGGGAGCCTCCCTGACCTCTGTCCCTGAAAGAAGAGTATGGACTTTGCAAGGGCATCTCTGTAGTTTGGATTGCCTTGGACTTGGACAGTGTTCAAGACAAAGACAGAGAGGAAAATCAAAAGGCTTAAAAGTGCTCCCCTGCTTCTCATTGCCATTGCTACTTAATTGTTCTAAATTTAGAAAATTAAGCACCAATAAAGCAATGTGTGAATTTCAATTGGTTCATGACTTTGTGTCCTATGAGATGCCTTTAAATAGGGGCAGGGAAGGCCAGTCACCCACCATGCCGCAAATTCTGGCTTTCGTTCTTGCCTCATTCTTCTAGTTAGTTTTCTTTTTGTTTTTTTTTCTCTCTCTCTCTAATTTAGGAAATTGAAGAATAAAAAGGCAGCTCATGGAGAATTAAATCCAGTTGAACTGGCTTACCTTTTTTTTTTTTTTTCATTCTTTATTTTGTAATCAGGGGGCGAGAAATTCAAAAACATTGTGAAGAAAAAAAATTGTTGGCGACATCCTAGTTTGATTAGGAGATTTATTTCCTATTCTATTGAGATTTTATTTTTTTTCTTTTTTATACAAATCTCATGTAATTAGGATTTTATTTGTTTGCTTATATAACCCTACTAGGGTTTACACATTTGTTTTATAAATACTTCCTTTTAGAGAATGGAAATATATCAGAAAATATTTTACCCAATATTATTTGACTTTGTATCAGAGCCTACTTTCTGGTGACATGTGTGTTGTGTCCACCTGTGTTCTAGCCCTATATTTCGTTTCTACCTTTGTCGTGTGTGCCTTATTGGGTTTGTGTGTTTGTTGTCATGTTTGTGCCTCTACTATGTTCGTGTCTCGGATTCGTGCATCTGCCGTGTTTGTGCCTCTGCCGCGTTGTGTGGTGTGCCTCTGCTATGTTCTGTTGTGCCTCTGCCGTGTTGGTGATGTTGCTGGTGCAAACTTGTGTATTTCTGACTCTATCCCAAGTACTGGCTCCAATACTTGAATAATTGGCACTGGTGTTATTGATCATATGACTTACAATGCTAAATTGTTTGATAAGTTGTCTAGTAAAACTTGTGACCCATACATAACTAGTGTTAATGACTTGCCCTCTCTAATTCTAGTGAGAGCACAATTTATCTCACTCCCACTATGTCCTTATCACGTACATTACTAGTTTCTAATATCCCTTGTAACTTGTTATCAGTTGGTCAATTACTTGATACACTTTAATGTTTTTGCTACTTTTTATCCTACACATTGCTCTTTCTAGAATCTCAAGACTCACGAAAAGATTAGGCATGGTAAACAGATATGAGGGTTACATTTAACATTGCTTGTTGCATCAGTACGTGATTGTGTCATTAATGTTCAAAGTTGCAGTGTCAAAGACAAACAACAAATTTGGTTATGGCATCGTCGCTTGGGACATCAGTCGTTTGGCTACCTTAAGCATAGGTTTCCATCTTTATTCCGCCCTTGTGATGAGTCCAGTTTTAAGTGTGAGACATGTATTTTGGCCAAGAGTCATCGCACTATTTTTCCATTAAGTGACCGTAAAGCTGCAAAACTTTTTGATTTAGTAAATTTTAATGTGTGGAGTTCAGCTCACGTTATTTCGAACGAATTCCGTTGATTCGTCACATTTATTGATAATTGTACCCGGCTCACTTGGGTTTTCTTGCTAAAAACTAAAAACGATGTTGCTTCCGTCCTTCTAGAGCTTTGTACTATGGTGTCTTCTCATTTTCAGACTAGGCTCAAAGTATTCCAGACTGATCACGGAGGAAAACATGTGAATAATAATTTGACGTGTTTCTTCCGTGCTCAATGTTTTATTCACCAAACGACAACCCATTTTAACCCCCTTCCCTCCTCCCCCCCCAATAAAATGGTGTGTCTGAAAGGAAGAACCGACAATTGCTTGAAGTTGCCCACTCACTCATATTCGATATATTTATTCCCCATCATCTTTGGGGACATGTTGTTATGTTTACTGCCTATTTGATTAATAGTACTTGTAGCCGTGTTCTTGATTTCAGGACTCCACATGATGTGTTTGGGCATGCATGACATCTTTGCTCCAATTGAGGGAGAGTGTTGGCGAGATCTTAATTTGATTAGGAGATTTATTTCCTATTCTATTATGATTTTATTTGTTTTCTTCTATAACCATATTAGGGTTTACACACTTGTTTTATAAATATCTCATTTTGGAGAATGGAAATATATCAGAAAATATTTTACCCCATATTGTTTGACTACAATACCATTAAACCATAGTTAGTTTTTAAAATAATTTTTGAACTTGAGATTAATCTTGAACCTCTTATGGAATCACACGCTTCTTTTCGTTTTCTTTCTTTTTCCTCCACCCAAGAAAACAAACCCCACTTTACACCTTAATTTATCGATGTTTAATTGGACTGCCTGCCATGCTAATATGATGGATTAGGCTACTTGCGTTTTTCTCTTTCTAAGTTTGAACATGAAATTATTATCACGGTGATTTCATAATTATAGGTGGCAAATGCATGCATATGTTACATCTCATGACAATATCAAAATTTCGTAATAGGGCCAACAAGGGCCTACAAGGTCAAGCTTAATGAAAAAATGCATTGATTTACAGATCAATGGTTTCAGTTCGAATCCCTATGGCATCTTGTAGTTTAGACTATCTCTCTCCTTGTAGTTTAGACTATCGCTCTCTTTTCAGTCTGAACCCCCATGTGTGTGTGTGAAACCTTTCTCTCCTTGTAGTTTAGACTATCTCTCTCCTTGTAGTTTAAACTATCGCTCTCTTTTCAGTCCGAACCCCCATGTGTGTGTGTGACATCTCTCTCTCCTTGTAGTTTAGACTATCGCTTATATTCTTTATATATAAAAATGATAATAGGAGTTGAATAGATATAATAAGGGGAAAGATTGAGGAATTGAGTTCAACTCTTGAAGGAGATAATCAGTACATACAAACATTGTACCTATATATCTTATCTTTGTTTTTGTTGAAACAAATAGGAACAAAATTTATACCTATATATCTTATCTTTGTTTTTATTGAAATAATAATAATATTTAGGGTTTTAAAAAAAAAAGATATTTTCTATTGAAATGAGTGATAACATACTAAGCTCACTCACACTATACGGATACTAGGATTTGAACTCAAGACTTTTCATAAAGAGAACATTTGCTCCAAATCACTATACTAATAGATCTTTTACATATTTAAGGTGTTTTTTAAGTGGGCTACCTTGACCCACAGTTCACTCCGCACGTTAACCTTTTGCTTTGAGCCTTTTTAATTTTTCCTTATTTTGGGATGGTAAACCTTCCCGCCGTTGGTCCATTAAAGTATGGATTACCGAATTCGTATATTCCTGATTTTCGGAAACATCAATGTAATTGCAGCAAAGGAATTCTCCTATCCCATCATCAACGCTCCCAACTACCACTTTACCAACATTAGTTATGATTAAATTCTTAAGCATAATTATCATGCATAGCATGCATTGGCGCCTCTTTCTTCTGGCCAATGCCCGTGAATTATAGATAGAATCGTTTTGACTGTCGTGTCTGAAAATTCGTTGAGTGTTGTCACATCACGTTGGTGTGGTTTTTCTTTGGTTTATACGTTGGTGTGGTTTTTATCCAAGTTAGATATTAACACTAGTGCATGTTTTATAACGTGGTTTCTAATAGGAATGGTGTCCGATTAGTATTAAACTTTTAAATCAATCAATGTTGGTGTCTGTCATCACATTTCATCAAAATACAACATACTTACCGATGAGACAAATAATCTCATGTCTTTTATTCAATAAAATCATTTATTATGTGTAATGAAATCACAATGTGAAATCGTAAATAGAGAGCATATGAGATTGTTGAGAACCGATTTTTATAAAATTCATATACCATTTGTCATGGAAACCTTTTATGATTTAAATGAGTCATAAACAATAAACTCACTGAAATACAAGTAAAAATATGAGTTACTAGTGTTAAATTAAGAGAGACGGGTCAGTGGCCCACTATTAACAATACCGATATTGTTCCCAACTTAATCACTTACAAAGCCCAGTAGGTATGGGGTTTTATCACAAAAGATCTCGATATTATTAGTAGTAGAATCATTCATTATATTTTGTATTTTATTTAGTCAAGTTTCTGATGTAGAACTCATATTCTTTAACACACCCCCTCACATGTGACCATCACATAGTGGGCCACACATAGAGCCAAATCCACAACGAAGTCAATCATTCAAACCTAATACGTGAGCACCACATATTGGGTAAAAGGTAGGGATAAACATTCAAGTCCAACATGTGAACACCACATATTGGGTAAGGGTAGAGGCCCAATTTAAGTTCAATCAATCAACCTGCTCTGATACCATGTGAGTACGACAGTAGATAAAATAGAACACAGAAATCCTATAAGCACGACAGTAGGTAAGGCATAATACAGATACCCTGTGAGCACAGCAATAGATAAGGCAGAACACAAAAACCTTGTGAGCACGACAAATGCAAGGTTTCCTAAAAATAGGGTAAGGCAAGGCAAAATTAAAGTAAGGGCAAATAAAGGCAAAGCAAAGGCAAAGGGCACGACCACATCAATAGCAACGATAATGACCGCATCAACTGAAAGCGAAGCAAGCAAAGGCAACATGAACGACGGTAGTAGCGGCAACGGTAATAGCAACAACATCAAAAAACGACAACGATAAATTCTTCCATATCAACTTTGGCTCATTCACGCAAACATAACTTCTCTTTAATCATCCCTTCTCCTTGAAGGGAATGGGTCGTCGGAGTCAAGAAATAGGCAATATCTCCATAAGAAAGAGAAACATATCTTTTTCACTCCCCCTTTCCCCTTTGAAGAGGAGGGGAGGAGAGTACTTTAATTTCAAGGAGAACACAAGTACAGGTCACAAGAAAACCTGACTCTTATACCAAATGAGTACGGCAATAGATAAAACAGAACACAGAAAATTCTCACAAACAAATATTCTCTTATAATTCTCATATTTTAGCAACTAGCTGCACAGTGCTTGTTGATGGTCCCGACCATCGAGTACAAATGCCTCGTCAATGGGGAAAGCGAGTCCCTGATTTTGGGTCATGTGTAATTAATTAGGCAGGAAAGGGAAAGCCATAACCAAAACCAAAAAAGAGTGCAAAAATAAGGCCC